GTCAAGTTCAAGCTTGCTTTGGTTCGGACATGAATTGGCAATGGAATAGAACTAAGGCAAGGCCAGAAGGAAGGGATCAGGGCCTGAACTATTCGTTCAGAATGTCTGTACTATAAAGGAATTTATAACTCAGAGAATCCTTGGGATGGGATGTAGTTGTGTGTGGCTGTATCTTCTTTGTTCCTCACAACTCTTGGGGGCAGTGGGGGGTGTGTGTGTGTGTGTGTGTGTGTGTGTGTACGCGCGCGCGCGATTATCTCCATTTTAGAGATAAGGAAACCGAGGCTCAGAGAGTTCCGGTAAGTTTTCTAAAGTAGCACAGGGTATTTGAGAGCACTAGGATCTGCACTTGAGTCTCACGTCAAAGCCTGTGCCTTTTTCACTCTGATGCACCAGTCTCCGGCCTCCTCCTGGTCTGGGCAAATCCTGGTTAGGCCTTGACAGAGGAAGTGAGAGGAGTGGAGAGGCTCGAGGTTCCCTGCAGAGATGAGTCAGGCTAGCATGGGGAAGCTGAAGTCGGGGTGACCAGGAGGGGACTGGGGCACTGGTGCTGGCTCTCCAGCCTTCCGCCCCCCCTTACTAGCTGGGCCTCAGGGCATCTGGTGGTGTTGAACACCCGAGACTGAGGTGGGGGAGGAGGGCAGGTAACAAGAGGGAGGACACCTTAGAGAAATAGAGTGACGGGCAGGAGAGACGGGAAGGCACGCACCGACTCCAAATACGCTATTACTTCAAAAGCATTTCCACAAGACCTACCTCATTGGAACGTGCCTTCAGTTGTCTGCAATTTGTTCTTTCCTTCCTTCCTTTACCCATTCAGGCAGGCAGTGAATCGGCACTGGCAGAGGGTCTGACTGCCAGGCGTGAGCAGTCACAAGGTGGGACATCGGGGGTAGCTAATAATGTTTACTTGGGGCAGATCCCATTTCGGGAGACAGGCAAATGGCATTCACGGGCAAGTCTGGTGCTGTCGCCGTGGGCGCGGCGGGGCCCCTGAGTTCACTGTCTGTCACCCACCTTACCTGGGAGAATGCTCGTGTGGGTTCCACCGGGCATAATTCCCACAATGGCCCTGCAGGCCTCGTGTCAGGAGGAGCTGCAGATTTGCCTCCAAAGACCTGGGGCCACTCTCGTGGCTGGGGAAGCCCTGGGACATCTGTCTCGTGTTACTGGTGCTCTGTGTGTGGGAGTGAGATCCAGCTCAGAATAGGGGAAAAGTCAGACCTATAGAAAAACCCAGGAGATGCAAGCTATTAGCTGAGAGGCCTCAGTTACTAACAGACTCTTTCCACATGAGCATCACACAGGAAACAGAAGGGAAGGGAGAGAAGAAAAAAGAGAGAGAAGAGTGCAAAGGGGACAGATGAAATGCAGAAAGGCCTTTGGAGGTGCCACCCGGCTGGGCTCCGGGCTGGAGGGAGGCCTGGGGCTTGCCCCCGGCGCCAGGGCCCACCCTTGGATGAGGCTGGGAGAGGCCACAGCTGCCCCAACGCTGCTGCAGCGCGGGTGCAGCAGCCCCACGGGCCAGGGCCAGCCTTCCGGCATCAGTGCAGCCACAAGAACATGCGGGGAAACTGAAGGATCTACCCATGACGCGCCTTCACAGCTGGGATTTGCTTCGCAAGCACTCATGAGCTGACGTATGTTGACAGTAGGTGGTGGGTACGTGGAAGTTCTTTGTGCAAGTATCTCTAGTTTTCCTTAAATTTGAGATAAAAAGTTTATAATAAAAAGTCTTTAAAAAATAGGGGAGCTCTAAAGGAACTGCACACTGCAGGTAGAATAACAACAGAGAATTATAAGCCATTGAACATCAGCGGAAGTTAATGAGAATTGTGTCTTGGGTTTTCCTAACACTGCGAACCAGGGATTCTTAACCCGGGGATGATGGATGAGCTGCAGGATCCCAGATCCCCGTGATAGTGTGCAGACTCACCTGGGAGTTTCCAAAGAATCTGCAGCTTTCCCCCAGAGCTTAATAAGTTGTATTCTTTCTTAATTGTGCCATGCATCCATTAGTTGCTTTGTATGTAGCTTTTAAATAAAAGGTTTAGCCCTGGTTGGTGTGGCTCAGTGGCTTGAGCACCGGTTTGTGAACCAAAGGGTCACCGGTTTGAATCCCAGTCATGGCGTGTGCCTGGGTTGTGGGCCAGGTCCCTGGTAGGGGATGCTCCAGAGGCAACCACACATTGATGTTTCTCCTCCCCTTCCCCTGTGTCTAACAATAAATAAGTTTTTTAAAAAATTAAATAAATAGAGGGCTTATTTTCTAGAACTGACATAATATCTAGGCGCTGTGTTTTCATCCCTTTTCTCGGTCAACCATGCCTGGAACAGAGCAGAATTTGGCTGACCTGCTTCTCGGCCCAAGTCCCTGGGGGCAGCTCCAGGGACAGTGGAGGGGGGGAGGGCTCTGCCAGAGAGAAGGGTCCACCACGGGGCGGGGCTGGGGGGGGTGGAAACCAAGAGACAGGAGTTGTCTGGGGAGGCGGGCTGAGGCTCCCTGGGGTCTGAGGCAGCGGCGGGAGGAGGAGCCCTTGAGGTTTGTCACGCTCTGGCAGACTCATTGCCTTTCCGTTGCAAATGCCCAACAGAAACCTCAGTTTTGAATAGTATGGGGCTGAAAACTCAAAAAATTCCTTGGAAAACACCCTTCCATTCCTCACATGGTAGCATAACCTCCAGCCCTTTGCAGTGAATTCTGCCAAAAAGTCCAGAGCCCCACAGGGTCCCCAGAACGGCCAGTGCAGGCTGTCACCTGGGCTTGCAGCCGGAACCCTGGGCACGAAGGAGGGTGGGTTAGTTTAGGGGAGAGGGAGACTCGCATCCGCAGAACGGTCTCCACATTCAAATCCAGGCTTGAAGGCCTTTCCCCCCCAGCAGGCTAACATTTCACAGGCTAGTGTGAGAAACATGGCCTTGGCCCAGGGCCTGGGGAAGAGAGAGGAGATGGAACACAGGGTCCCAGGTATTGCTCTGTAGCTGGGGCTCTGAGCTCTGCTCTGTATCACTGTCCCTTAGAGAAGACAGGTGAGAGCTGAAGCCATCCCCCACTCTCCCACAGAAGGGGACGCATAGACAGGCAGACAGAGAAAGACCTTGGCCTCCCCAGCCAAACATCTGAAACCGCACAGCTTCCCCGCCCACACGCGGAGGGAAATGGAGAGCTTAGGTGGGAGTCCACCCACCCCCAGGGCTGCAGGCTGTCGGCGGGCATGGGGCGACGAGGGGGTTGGCGGGGGCCAGGGCCTGAGGCTGGCCTGTGGCTGTTGCACATCAGGTCAGGAGAAGCTGTTCCCTCTTCTCCGCCTCCCCGCTCCAGTCCTGGCTCCTGTCCCTCCTCATCCAGAGCCCCTCACGCAGCATTTCCTTCCTTCTCAAACCTCCTCTGGCATCAGGGTTTGAACATTCTGTCGTGATAGAGAGATGGGCAGCACCCCAGAAACCTCCCCCCTCTGCACTCCCTCCCACCAGAACCCCAACTCTGAAGGCACCATCCAGAATCCTTGGTTTCCTCCATCCACGAAAACTGTCAACAAGGTGGAAGGTGCAGGACCAAAAGCAAAATTCTTGGTGGCCAGCTTTGGGTTATATTCTCATCCTTCTTCCTTAATTGTGGTCCCTGCCTCCACTGCCTCCCTTACCAGTGCCTCCCAGCACCTTGCCCGCAACCCCACTCCCATTTAGGTCGGAAGGCCTTGGTTTCCTCCTGTTAAGGAGGAAAGGGGGACTCTGTTGTGTTTGGACACTGTGGCCATCCCTGCCTGAGAACCAAAACCATGGGTCTGCCACGGAGGCCTTCACACACATCAGTGGAGAGAACAGTTTCTAACTGTAGAACAGGACCTCCTGTCATTGCTCCCATCACCTCCCAGAAAGCTCTCCACGTTGCCTAGACTGTAAACACGGTCCGCAGGCAGATTCCATGGAGAGAGGGACCAAAGCTACTTCCGTGGCCACCCGTGCGGCTGTGAGGCCCAGCAGGCCAGATTCTGAGAAGCAGAGACCACTGAAAAAGACTCTTCTTCTTCTTCTTTTTTTTTTTTTTAAACTGTGCTTTATTTAGGGCTAAGCTGGAGAAAGCGTCATCCAATAGTTACAGAAGGTTACAAGGAGTTTTAGGGAGTTGAGTGTGAAAAGAGCAGTTGTACTGAACTGCAGCTGTTTTTTTTTTTTTTTTTTTACAACATCTGGACATCCTAAAAGGAGGAGCCAAGAGAAAGAAAAAGAAAAATTAAAAAATAATTAACCAACAAAATAGAAAGAAAGGTAAGTCAGGAGGCCCGAGAGGAACCAGATAATTGTTTTTCTAAAACAAAAAAGGAAAAATATGGTAGGTCCGCGAGCCCTCTGGCCTCCAGATGAACTGGACGTCAACGAGAGGAGGGTATCGAGGCAGAATGCCAAAGCAAGTCTTCCCAACGGTGCAAATAAATTATAATAAATATGTTATACTTTAAAATATATGTGTTCTTAAATAAATCAGTGTTTTTTTCTGATTCTGAGTTTTTTTTTAAGCAATGTCTTTTTTAACTGCTCTAAAGTCATTTACCAAAGATAAATATCGTGCTTTCATTAAATAGTTTTCCTTGTTTTTTTCTCTATCATTACAATTAAAAGTCCTACAAAATATGCAAATTTATTTACAGAAAAACAGAGCCGGCATCATTTAAACATCCCTGTTTTTCAAAATTCCTTGTAAACAGTTTCAGAAATTCTTCAAAGATTGTTTATTTTTCTCTCTCTTGTTTAAGGTTTTTGTGTGTGTGTGTTGTTTCGTTGTTTTAAGATGAAAGTTCCCAGGTCTCCCTTGCCCGGAAAGTCTCTGGAGCAAGCATGGAAGGCGAGTGAAGCAGAAGGTGTCCAGGGCTTGCGGAGAGCGGGCGAGCACGCAGCTCCGGAGCGAAGCGAGGCGAGGGCGGCTGCGGCGGCGGCTGCGGCTGCGGCGGCGGCGGCGCGGGCCTTCCTGCCCAGGGCGGGGCCTCCACCTGCGGGGGCAGCCAGGAGCCCACAGGTCTGGCCAGTCAGCCTGGCCCTCGGGGTCAACGGTGTCGTCATCCGACAGCACTCGCGGGGAGAAGGGATTGATGCTCAGTCTAAACTCTACAAAAGTACAGTCCTACAACATCTGGGATTTTAGCAGTAACGCTAACTTCTATAAGTTTTTTTTTCCTTTTTTATTTTTTTTTTATTTTTTGCTTTCCTCTAATTTTTCTTCTATTATATAGGTATTTTAAACTTCTCCTTTTTAAAATTCTGTACAACTATTATGTTTTTAAGAGGGGGGGAAGAGTTAGAAGCATTTACAGACTTTTCACAACAATTCTCTTGCCTTGTAAGTCCTTTTTTTTCCCCTCCTTGTTTTCTCACACTTCAAGGTTAATGAGTTTTAATATTTTTGTTGCTTTCCCCCAATATCCACCAATTTGTTCATCTTAACAGCTCCCTCCAGACATATAATACAGAAAACCATAGGAAAGTGTCTTAGACTTGAATGAGGGTAATCAAAGCGCCTCTCAAAGTATCAAAGAACTATTATCTTGCTGTTTTAAAAGCATTTAAGCATTTTCTTTTTTTGTGTTTTTGTGGTTTTTTGTGGTTTTTTTTTCATTTTTTTATTACATTTTTCATAGAATCGCTCTAAGCTGTTTCATGAACAGCCAGGAGGCAGGAAGGAGGTTCCCCTCCATTCCCCCTCTATTTGACATAGAGCTACACATCTGCAATAAAAAGTTTGGTCCTTTGGTCCCTAAATAGCTAAAGGAATGACAGATAGAGATGCTCAGCGGCGGCTCCCAGCCGCCCCCTGGGGACCAGGTCCCGCCACACCGCTCGCCCCAGCCTGCCTCAGGCGCCCACGGGCTGGAAAAGCCCCGGGGATCGGTAAGCAGCGTCTCTTTTCAGTTCCCAGCCCTTCAGCCTCCCCATCTGGTGTCAAGTTATTTTGTTTTAAAAGTTGCCTTTTGTGTGTGTGTTCTCATTTTTCTTCATCTTCTTCTTTAAGTCCTATGTATTTTCCCCCAAACACGTGCCCTCTGAACTCCATAGACGCTATACTTTCCTTGAAGAAATGTTACAGTCACAGAGTGTCTGGAGTCCTCAGCTTGATTGATATTGGCTGATATGTCAAAGGTGTCATCCAACAGTTCTCATTTATAAATAGAGAGAGAGAGAGGTTTGTTTTTTAATGTAGCCCGTTCAGCATCCTGCCCTAAAATGAAGAAAATCGGGGCTGATTAAGCCAAGAGAGGAAACACAAAATGCATCCAAACACCAAAAGGAACCTGCCTGGGGGTCAGGGTGGGAGCTCTGGGGGATGGCGGGAGGGAGGGGAGAGACCAGTATGAGAATTAGTCATGATCATGATACATAAAGGAGAAATCGACTCTTCCATTCAGAGCGAGAAACCACTGGCGGGTTAGTGGCGGTGGCTGTTAGCTGAGCTTTGTTTAGCTGTTGGGAGAGGGGGCTCGATTTGGGTTCCGTTAGAGTTCTGAATTGGGGGATGGCTCGGTCTAAGGGAAGAATTTGGGACTATGGCATATGAATTCATAATTAAACTGATCTCTGAGGGATTTAGCCCAGATACAATATGTATACAGAAGCCTAGCAAACGAGAGAGCAAAACTCTAGCAGCCCAGCCCATTCCTCCCCCTTTGAGGAAAAGGAAGACAGATCCATGACATGAATTTTGCTGAATCCTTGCCCAGTTTCCAGCCAACCACTTCTTTCCCAAGGTCAGTAAGTATTTGCGAGGCTATGTATATATATATGTATATCTGGATATATGTGTAGAATATATTCACCTGCACATATGTGGATATACATGGATATGTGTGTATGTATATGCATAGATACACACATACACACACACACACACAATATTTTCTCATACATGCCAGGGAATTTGGAGGAAATTCAGAACTTCAAGGGCGGGGAGGGGGCGGGGAACGGGAGATCCTAAAAGAAGTTAGAACATATTTAATCATCAGACTTAGACAATTCTCGGTTTTTCTTTTGAATGGTGGCTTTTTGGAGTTTGTTTTGCTTTTAAGGAAAAAAAAATCATGATCTGACTAGAATCAGAAGGAGAATGCTTAATCATTGTGAATTAACAAATGAGACTCATCTCCATTCTAGCAAGCAGCTTCCACTTATACATGGGGGTGACTGGTTACATCAAGAAAGTTAGAACTGCAAAGCCCCCAGTCGAGGGGACAACGTCATGCGTATATCAATCCATGCTGGCAGGTTTTTCACACTGTTGATTCAACAAACAGCAAACCGTACACAGCAGTCTAAACAATTACAACACCAAATAAAATAATAATAAAATCAAAAAACACTTGTCAAGGACCCTTTTTCAGTTGTAAACAAAAAGGTGCATTTTGCTTTTGTCAGTACTGTCTTTTCCAAACCAACCAAAAAACCCTCCCAAAACCCCGGTCCCCAGCCTCCCCTCCCCACATTTAATTTAGCAGAAGTGGCTACAATACAAACCTTACAATCGTTACCAGGCCCTCTGTCAGAGGCCTCTGGCTTTGTACTCTAGTTTTTTGGTTTAGAAATTTTTTTTATTATTCTGTTACTGTAGAGATTTTGTTTTTGTTTTTTTTTTTTGTTTGTTTTTGTTTTTCCTTTTGAAGTGAGATTTAAAATGGCCTAACTGGAAAAAGACCAGACCCTGGAAAGTGTCAATTGAAAAAGGCCCCCAAATTTCTAGAAAAAAATAAAATCACAATATTTTCAAGTGCAAGTAAATCAACCACGCATTTTTTAAGATGTTTTCCTTATTTTTAAGAAAAAAAAATAATGGTTTGCACAGTTAAATGATCCCATGTTCGATAATTTAGAAATTCATCTTTATTTTTACTGTTTTTTTTTTGTGCTTTTGTTTTTGGTTTTTTTTTCTCTATGTGACATCTAGAGAAGCATAAAAAACGCTGAACAAGAAAAACCAAACAACAGAAAGTAAAACCACTGCAAGCACCAAGAACGAAACAAAAATGAGCACAGCAAAAAAGGTCGTGGCAGCACAAAAGTCAAGAGAATGCACGTGTGATCATGACTGGCCAATCATCAACTGATACAACATCCAAGAAAAACGCTCCAATCACAGCACCTCCACGAAACTTGACGGCAATTGTCATGCAACCGATTCTTAGCCTTGTTACATGACGCCATCATGTCACACTGTGAACTTTGAGTTGATTTGAACTTACGGATGGGGGACTGTTTTCTCCACTCTCATGTGATTACGTGAACTTTATTCCTAGCTCAGCGCGAGACTGTGGTGGATTTGACTGGCCCTGGTTGGGTTGTTGGAATTTGATTGAATGACAAAAGAAGAAAAGATTTATATATATATTTATATATGTAGAGAGAGAGAGAGAAAGAGAGAGAGGACAAGAGTGTGGGCAAAGGGGAAGGAAGAGGCAGGGCAGGGCGGATGGGGAGGGGGAGTGTGGGAGGGCAGGGAGAGTTGGGTGGAGGGTGAAGAAGGGCAAGGAAAGAAGTTAAAACAAAATTAAAAGGAAAAATATTTATACAGCACCAGACCACAGCATCAATCTAAAAGCTCCAATGAGAGAACAGCAGTCAAATCATAAGAGAACCGAAAAGAACTCAAAGGATGGAGGAAGCCGGCAGACAAACGACATGGGCACATCAACACACACACATACACGCACAGCTGTTTATGCAGACACATGGTACACTGTGAACAGTAGCAGAACCTCACACAGGGCCACTAAGGGCATCCATCATGCGTTGGGGAGGGGGGGCATGGGCGGTTTGGCGAGGGGGCCAGAAAAAAGTAGAACAGCCCCTCAAACCACCTTGGCCAGCAAGCAGATGGGGGAGCACGTCTCTGCTTTTTATCACCCTTGGTTCTTTCTCTCTCCCCCAGGCGCCGAGCTCTCCTCACCTCCCCAGCCTTCTGTGGCTTCAGCCTGTGGACCAGCAGGTGGGGGCTGTCAGGGTGGCCCTGATTTGCCGGGTAGGTCAGAGGCTGGCTAAGGTGACTGCTGTATCCATGAGGTCCATCCAGGAGGCACTTTGCTGCCATAGTACAGTCCACAGTGGCAGCAACTCAGCCCTCCCACCCTTTGGGTCCCACCTGGGCCACCGTCCCCAGAGAAGGGTGTCTCCACTCCAAGAGAACCCACTGTATGAGGTTATGATTCTCTCCCCTTCCGCTTCGCCTCAACCCTCCTTCCTCAGAACCTTCAGCAAATGAACAGGTTTGGTTTTCAGATTTAGAGGAAATCACATCAACATTCCTAGAAATCTAGAAGCACGCCCTGGCTCTGTTGATTTCACTTCACAATCACCTCACATCCTTTGCTTTGCTCCCAAGGTGGCCCATGTGGCCCAAGTGAGGCTCCTTCCAGGCACCTGGAGCCTATAGAAGGCTCTGCAGCTGTGACCCACGATTAGGCCGAACAGAAGACTGCGGGGCGCCCTGCAGGGCAGGCACCGCAAACGAGGACAGTCCACCAGAGGAGGGAGCACTATGGCCCTGGATCTCCTGTCTCTGCTGCTGTCACTTTTGCTCTGCTGACTCCCCTTACTCCAGCTTCTCCTTCTCCATTCCTTGATACCCCGCAGCCCTCCACGTCCGGCCTTCTGGGCTGACCTGTCTCACAGGCCCTGGCTGCCTTCTTTAAAGGTGCAGCCGTAGGTGGCTGAGGCCAGATTCCCTTCACTATCAACCATCATCAAATAATTCCGCTTTCAGTGGTCTTCTGCACTCCTCACAATTTCACAGTCCTTTGCCCCCAGCCAGAGATCTGGGTCGGGGCAGGTCCCTAGTCCGATCCCCTGGTCATGGTTCCCCTTGACCTTGGCCCCCTCCCCCCACCCACACACACACTGCAGCATTCAGGCACCAGGTTTCTCTGCAGGGCTTCCTGGCTGCCAGGCTTCTACATGGAGCCACAGCCAACTTCCACTCTCAGCTTTGTTTTCCTTCAAGGGAAGCCTGGGATCGTGGAATGTCGGTGTGGATAAGCTGCAAAGCAGCTGAGGGGTGACTATTTCAAGCCCAAAGCCGGCCTCCAGCTCTGCCTTCACAGAACAGCTCCCAGCTCCTCTTCCTCCCCCGGCCCCTGCCCGCCCTGCCCGGCCAAGCTGGGTCCTTGCTCAGCAGCCGATCTCCCTTGTGCAGACCGGGGCCCACTGCAGCCCACCGAGTCCTGACATGCCGCCCTCCCCTGCTCTACCAGCCCCTCCTGGAGGACAGCCCTTAGCCCCACCCACGATATCCAACTGGCAGGTCCCTTGGAGTGGCAGAAGAGGCCTAAGAATGGAGGAAGGCAGTGGCATCAGGTGTCAGCTATGGCAAGTACAACTAAGGGTCCCCTGGGGACCCCTCCTTCCCCATGGCCCCGGTCCTGAGCACTCCACAGTGGTACACACCCCTCCCCGCTCTGCTGTGCTCCTCTGCCTGCCCCCAGCTTCCCCCCGGCTGCCCTCCAGTGCCTGGTACTGTCCTGGAGGCTGGGAGTCCAGCCTGCCTACCACACAGCCCCTCCATAAAGCCCAACCCAGGGGGCTTTCTCATACACTCCTCTCTCACACACGCTTGGTCCCGACACACCCACGCTCTCACACGCATTCAACCCCTAAAGAGCCTCCCCGGGGTTCTTCATGTGAACGGCAGACCACTCTCTTCACTAAGGAACAGCTGTGCCTCTTCCTGCTGGGGTCCCCTTCCTGGCCACCCTCCTGAAGAGCCTCCAGAACATAGCCCTGTGGTGGTGGCAGGGTCACTGACCAGCATGGGGGAGTTTGAGTCAGGCCTGGGAGGCTCCAACTTATGACCTGGATGAGGAAGCGATGGCCAGGCTGAACTGATTCCGATGCCAGGTCCTAAACACAGCTGGGCTCTAGCCAGGGAAGGCCCAGGCCCAAAGCCCCGGCCCATCCCAGGCAGGTCGGACCCAAAGCACCCGCGTCTGAAATGCTCAGAGCAGACGCTGTGCGAAAGCCCATGGCCCAGCAGGGACAGGACTCCTGGAGGAGTCCTCCAAGCCAGAACCACTTCAGCTTCGGGTGCAGCGCCTGCTCGTGAGTTTGGGGTGGGGCGAGCGACTTGGGGGTTCTGGCTGACGGCTCTAGAGCTGGCCATGTCCACGATTTTGCCCATTTTTCCTGCCTCTATTTCTTTCCTCTTAGATTCCTGGTAAAGATTTTTTTGGAGAAACTCCCATCATAGCACAAAATAATGAGCTCAAGCAACCAGAGAGGCAGGGGCATTAGGAAGGCCGGGAACCCAAAGGGGAAAGAGATCTACACACTCAGGGGACCCAACCCCAACTCCACCCACCAGAACCGCACTTTATGGAACCAAAGCCCAACCACTCCCCCTACAGCTGCCCCGCTGGGGCCCTCTCCTTGCCCAGACCTGCCACATTCTCATTCTGACGTGTCCTCGGCCACCAGGCCTGCTGCACCTCTGCCTTCGCCACAGCGGTGGCCAACCCTGGCCCTGACATTCCTGGCCCGGTCACCTCTACACTCCCAGTGACGGCACGTCCCTCAGTCCCTGTTTGGGCTAACCCTGCCTTTCTGAGCGCCCCTAGGTACATACCCCTTTCGTTAACCTGTAAAGTTGTGCAGTTTCTAGCTGCTTCTGCATGCTGTTTCCTCCCTTGCTGGCGACTGGACAGGGGTCACTTCCCACTGGACTCCCCCAGCCTGCCCCTTATCTTAACACCCTCCCTCTAACAGTCTCGGGGAGGGAAACCTGACAGCACCATGTTAAAATGCCATCTACACGGAAACTAAAGGCCGGCCTTATTATAGAGTTAATAGGGAGGAGGTCGTCAGATGGCCGACCCCCGAGGAGAGGGATGTCTTGACATGTCCCCTCTGATGTTGAGGACACTCTGTGGTGGGAGGTTGGGGTAATGACAGCAGCGAGGGGTCTATCATTCTCCTTACTTAAAGGGGCCAAGAGCACAGTTTCTGGAACTAGGCCCCCAGCTTCAAATCACGGCTCTACCACTCAGTAGCTGATGGAAAGGTGACGTAATCTCTCTGTGATATGGGATAACACTACGTACCTTATAGGCAGTCCCAGCCATGTTCTTATAAATTACAGTTATTCCGTATAGGAATGGTGCCTAATGCGTGATAAGAACTGTGGGACGGTCTACGGTTCTCACCTTTCTGGCCTTCGTATTCTCTGGCGGAAGAACCCACTCTGCTGTTTAAACTACTCCTCTCAAGCCCCCATCCCAAGAATGACTGTCAGCTGGTTCTACCTTGAAGGCCACTTCCTCCTACCTCATGTCCCAAACAACAAATCTGCTTTCCTCATCCCTTTATCTGGGAATTTCTACCACCTAAAGGCTCTACTCCTGCTTGGGTTTTTGTTGCACTGAGGTCTAGGAGGCTAAAACCGACTGCGTTCGAAGAGCCACCGGGCCCTCACGATCTCAGGGCATTACCCGGGAGCATGCCCCCTCTTTAAAATCCTCTAATGACTCCAACACCTTGCTTCCATTAGTAAAAACATGGAAGTCCAAGAGGGGAAGCACTTTGACCCAGGCCACGCCTTAGATCTAGAAAGGGCTGCTTTTACCAAACCGACCCTCCCCTCCTATGGAAATGCACCCACATGCTGGCGGCCTCTTGATGTCTGTGTGTGCACAGAGCCAGAGGCTCCTTGTGGGCAGGATGGTGACCCAGCACTGAGCCCGGTGCCTGGCACAGGAAGGTGCCCGCCCTTTGAATGGCCATGAGTATCTGTGTCTTCACACCAGCGAGAGACGGGCAGTGGGTGGGAACTCAGGAGGTGAGAGAGGCGGTTTGGTTTTCCAGCCCTGCAGAGGGTAGAGGCTCAGCCACCCTCGGCAACAGAAGCTGAGCACTGAGCTGCTCCTGGCTGGACGAAGAGTGTGCTGCTGACGGTGGTGGGATTTGAGGGGAGAACGGGAAACTGCAGAGACCTCCAACTTCAGACTCTGAACCTCCACTCGGGGATTTACCTCTCACATGTCTGATTTGCCACCCAACCCCCTTTCCTTTCCAGGCATAACAACACTGCTCTTTCAGTCATTTGGGCCAAAAGCCAGGTATCATCCTTGACTCCCCTCTCTCACACCCACCCCTAATTCATTACAAACAGCATCCTTGGCTCTGCCTTCCAAATATGTCTAAAACGCCCTCATATCACATCACCTGCTGTCAGCTGGACTGAGTGGTCCGTGCACTAGACCTCTGCTTTGGGCCCTGCAATCTATTAACACAGCAGCCAGCTGTTCTGTTGAAATGCAGGTTAATCACATCGCTCTCCACCCAGAGCTCTCCAGTGCCCCTCCTCCTGTTCCCCGTTTCTGAGGACAGGCCTAAGTCCAAACAACAGCCTGTGGATCCTCCGTGAGTGGTGCTCCTCACCTCCGGGGTCTCCTCCCTCACTGAGGCCCCTAATTACTCGCCTCCAGCCACCTTAGCCTGCTGCTGCTCCTCAGACACACCACCCTGCCCTCACCTGGCTGTGCCCTCAACAGGAGGATGTCCTCCTCCACACGCTGGCATGGCTCCCTGCTTCACTTCTGGAAGTCTTTGCTTGAATGCCACTTTCTCAACAAGGCCTATCCTGGCTACCTGATTTAACTGTAACCAACGATTCTGACACCCTGTATAATGTATTCTTTGATCGTATGTCATTGTTTATTCTCTCTCTCCCCTGCTTAGGACAACGATTCTTACCAGTCTGACTCAGGGCTGAGCTCCGTGTACCTGCCTGTGCCTGGTGCACAGTACCCTGAAGGAATGGAGCGACAGAGGACTGGGCAGCCTGTCTCTGGCCTGAGAATGAGCTGACCCTGCAGGAGCTCACAGCAATGGGGGCACCAGGCTGAAGGTGGACTTCCGATGTCCTGGCACAACTTCCCCCTCCCCACCTCCTCAGGGAGCCGCTTCCCCCAGGGGAACAGGTGGCCTGGAAGTCTGGCTGCTAGGCAGGACCCAGACTGAGCAGAAGAAGTGACAACCGCCCACTGATCGTGGCCTCTGTAAAGCAGGCAGGGCAGGTGGCCCCAGCGCTACACCTTCACCATGGTCAGCTTCTGTCCTATCCAGCCTTTTTTTTTTTTTTTTTTTTTGTAAAGGTCCCTTTGAAAAGTCCTATCCCTCCTCTCCAGACTGAGCTATGAGGAACCAGAGGGGTGAGGGGATCAAGTGTCTAAAGCCCACCAGCCCTTCCAGCTGGAGAGCTGGGGAAGGGAGATGAGGATTCTGGAAGAATGTCCCAGCAGAGGGCTACAGTTCTCCGTAGGGCCTATTCTGCCACCCCCAAACTCTCCCAGTCCTGAGCTTGCCATCCGGCAAACAGGACTGCCAGTCTGGACCCAGAGGCGCAGGCCCCTGGCCCGGCCCACCTTCTCAGAACGGTTCCCTCCAGCTCCTGTTGGCTCTGCGGCAGGGGGATGGCCATGCCCATGTCTCCCGGGATGACCACAGCTCTGCGCCTGCCCCTAGGCACCGAGCGAAGAGCGGGTGGAGATGGCCGCAGCGGGTCCAAGGCACCAGCTCCGAGAGTCCAGCCCACGGAGGTCGGGGAGGCGGCGGGTCCGTCCGGTGTCCCCTCCCTCTCCCCCCCGGCCCCGCGCCCCGGCCGCCCCCGGTTACCTGTGCGAGTCCTAGTCTCCCCCGGGGGACGCTCCCGCCGGCGCTCAGTACGGGCGATTGGCGTCTTTGGGCCGCTTCAGCTGCACCTTGAGCCTCTTCATGCCGATCTGGAAGCCGTTCATGGCCTGGATGGCGGTCTGCGCGCTGGCCGGGTTGTCGAAGCTCACGAAGCCTGGCGAGACACGAGGGACGAGGGCCTGGGTTTCCACTGGGCCGCAGGGGCCGGGAGGGGTGGGCGGGGAGAAAGTCGGGGCGACGGCGGCCCCGCCCTGCGCCCCCGCCCCGCCTCAGGGCAGGGGCGGGGCTCGAAGCTCCTCCCTCGGGGCCCCGCCCCCGCCGGCCTCACCCCCCCCACCCCCTCCAGCCCGCTTGTGCGTGGCCCCTCCCGGAGTGGGCGCTTCGGAGGCTCCCAGCCTCCCCGGTCGGCGAGGCCCGGCCGGGCCTCCCCAGCTCCACCTCGGCTTCGGGCGGCGCCCTCTCCCCCGAGCGGGGGAGCCCGCGGCGCGGCGGCGCTCGGACAGGCGCCCGCCCCCCACCCCGGCCGGCCCCGGCACCTCAGCCCTCTCCTGCGGTGGGGTGGGAGAGGGCGGACACACCTGAGGGTGGAGTTTATTGGACACTGTCCTCCCTGACAGGAGGGGGCCTGGCAGCGGGAGGGCACAGGGTGCCGGCCTGGGGAGAGAGAGGCGTGCGAGGGGGCGGGAGGGAGGCACCACGGAGGAAACTGCGCCGCGTGTCGGGCCGCCCCCTTCGCGAGTGCCGCCCGGCCACAGGGAAGGGAAGGGGCGGGCAGTCCTCGCGGCCCCCCACCCCCCTCCCTGTCCTGGCCGAGGCTGTCCCAGGCTGGGCTCCTGGGGGACCCTGGGGTTCGAGCCAGACCGACTCGCGTTTACCCACCACCTCCCTTTTATGTAGTAAAATTCCAAGGCCGGGGAGCAGGTGCTCTTGCCCTGGACCGAGCACGCACCAATGAGTATGTCCCCTATGAACCCCCCTTAACAATGGTAACAGTATGATAACAATAATACTACAAATTAACACTATTAGTGAAAAATCAGCTGAGAGCCTACATAAGTATTTTTCGTCCCTTCATTCCTCCCAACGTTCCAGGACGGGATATAGAACCATCTATGGCTCCCAGACACCTTCTGAAACACCAAGTTCTCAGATGGAGATGGATCAGGTTCCCAAAGTTCATTTAGAAGTCACTTTTTGAAACTTTGAACGTGTCTCCTTGGAGACTACAAGTTACACCAGCATTTCCAAGAATGGCCCTAATAGGTGTTCCTTGAGAAAGGGGCTTCTGTGGTCAGGTAGGTTCATAGCCAGACCCCTCTGGGACAGTTCAAGGCACATTAACAAATAAAAACACCCACCTCCCACCCCAACTTCTCCAATAAATAAAACTTCATCTCTTTGTTTAACTTAGTATTCCCTGGAATTTATTTGACTTAGGGGCCTTTTCCCCTGTAAAATCTGCCTTTTATTTATTTCTCCTGTAAAATCTCCTTGCAAAATATATGAAACTAAGCTTGGCGAAGTTCCCAGGCCATCCTGCAAACCGGCCTCATCTGGGGTGCTTGTCCCAGAATAGCATTAGATATAAGAGATAGAAGTACAGACCCACTGAAGTAGAAGCTGTCTTCTTGGTTAATTGCCCCTGGTACCTCCTTTGCTCTCCCCTGTGGAGGCTGTTTCTCCCTTTTTCACCTTGCCCCAGACACCTTCCCCATGTGGCTCCTGTTCTTTTCCTCTTGTGTCCTTCCAGCATTTACTCATATTTGCTCTTGCAACAATGCACCATCAGAGACAGGAGAGAGGGTATGTGTACGTGCATGGGAGTGCACTCAAGAGCATATGAGCTCAAATGGGACTAGTCAGAGCCAGACCCAAAGCAACATAACCAACATCTGTATAAGTCCATATGCCAAAACAAATAGGAGAGATTTAGGGTTATCTGTAGTTGCAGTTTAGTGTGAATAATCCTCTTACCTTCTCCTCTCATCCCCTCCTGGCCCACCTCCTCTGATGGCCAGTCAAGTTGTTAACAGGGCAAATATGTGAATTGTGTGTCTGTAACACTTCTCTCCCCCAAACTAAGGAGAGCAGTTGAACTAAAGCCTCTCTCCCTGCGAGGACAAGATAGCCTAACTGTGAGTGGCAGGTTATACTCCTCCCGCCTCCTCTGGCCCACCAGCTCGACCAGCTCTGACTCTCCCTCGCTACCTGCACTCGGTGGCTGTTTCTGCTAGGAAGGAGACAAGAGAAGGATAAAAGGGGCTGGAGGTGCTGTGGTGTAAAGGGAGGGGCAGCCACCAAGGAGGGGAGTAGAGGCAGAGGTGTCCTGGAGGAGGGACGGCCAGACTTTGTGGAAGAATCTAGAGTCTCCAGAGGCCCAGGGGTTGGGAAGGACTCTAGGCTTGAGAGAACCTTTCTTCCTCAACAAATTTTGTGAACTGGCCAGCAGTCTGGGCAGGGAGCTTGCCCCTGATTGGCAGGGCCCTGAGCACCACCTCCCATGGTTACTGTCTTCCTTCCCCAGAGTCCCTTCCCCATTCCTCCCTCCCTCAAGAAAGTTCCTGCCTTCCAGGCCACGGGAAGCCTTGCAGGTAGGAAGCCCTCCTGGTGCCCTTGCCCAGCCCTTCTTTCACCTTAGCAACAGTTTGTGCTGCACATATGCGCACAAAAGCCTCTGGAAGATTCTGATTTATAAGGTTGTTATGCTCATAAAAAGCAAGTGGGGCCATTGAGGGGTTCACTTGAACATAGGACCACATTTACAACAAAACAGCCCCTCTTTTGGGGAACATAGAGAGGTCTAGCACTTCTTGAGGGTCCCATTGGGCCAAACCCCTCACACATTCCATCTCATATAACCTCTGCGCATCCCTGAGGGCTGACTGCTAAAACCCCCATTTCGCACACGGGAACTCGGAGGCGGGAGAGTGTAATGACTTGCCCGTGAGTGAGTGCTGAGTTGGTTCTCATACAAAAGGCCTCTGGGAGAGCTGCAGAAAGCTCACATGCAAACCAGGACCCAAGAGGCTCAAGGAGGAAGTGCTGGGCTGGGAAACATGGTGGGAGACTGTCCTTTTTCAAGGCAAGTGGATGTTTAGCACTGGAAACTTGTTCAGAAAGAAAAAAAAGAGCCAGTGTAGAGGTATTCAGAAGATATTAAAAAAAAAAAGGCAGGGGAAAACCTTGGTCCTAGAACATTTAAAAGGGCTAATGGCGAAAGTAGTGTTCGGGCAGACTCTAAGGAAATGCCTTTGGAAACAGGGTTGCTCTGACGTCAGGGGCGGCCAGGGCAGCACAAACACACCAAGGGTATGGCTAGAGACCAAGCCTGCTCTATCCGAGGTGCCCAGCGCTTCGTGGGCTCTTAGCGGTCTTCTTTGATTTGATGTAGCATCTGAGGCTTGCTTAAAGAGCAAACACAAAGATCTCCAGTTTGTCATCTTTACATTTTGCCAGAAGAAACACTGGTCACGCAAGGGAGGGGCGCAGCCCTGACTGTCTTTAGCTTTGCTTTCCCACTACACAAAGAAATGAGCTACGGAGGCCACGCTACGCCACTGAGGTGCCGCAAACTTCCAGGGGAAGGGACAATGGAGCCAAGATCTCGACTGCTCTGTCAAACATGCTTTAAGACCTCAAGCCCCTCATGGTTCTGGCAAGTTGGTCTCCAAACTGGAATTTCCTCGACATGCTCTTCCTGATGCTTCTGTACCCTTATCCTTTCTCCCCTCCCCAATGCAACCTGGGTTCCCTGGCCAACATAGGCTCCTTTTCTGTCCTCGCAGCCCCAGAAACTGGGGGTCAACCCATAGGTACTGAGCTCCTGGCAGACTCAGCTCTGGTTCCATGGGTGGCTCTCTGGGGACTGGACTCCTCAGTCTGTGTTGAATCATGAGTGGCTCTGGCTCCAGAAGGAAGGGCTGATGGAGGTGGAAGAGGAAGTGGGAGATGGACTAAGGAGGAATGGAGGGGAGAGCTGTGGGGATTTGCTTCTGGTCTGAAGCAAATCAAAACACAGGATGCCCAGTAATTTGGAATTTCAGATAAACAGTAAATACTTGTTTAGCATAAGTATATCCCAGATATTGCATAGACCGTATTGACTGTAACATTCAGGACATACTTACACTAAAAATGCATCCACTGTTTATCTGAAATGTCCAATATAACTGGGCATCCTATATTTTATCTGACAACTGTACTCCAAATCCTCCCAAATCTTCCCAACTCCACCTAACACCCTGCCACCCGGAAAATGTCCTGAAAGCTGTATCTTCACTCCCATATTCTCAGCTCAAGGACCTCCCACCATCTTCCAGTTGCCTACCACACCGCATAAAACTCCCTCATCTGAATTGTGGAAACCCCCCAGCACAGACCCTCCCCCACAGATGGCCTCCCCTGAGCCCTCCTTTCTGCCCAGAGCCTCCAGCTTCCCCGCTCACTGCCCTTAACTCGTTTCATCCCAGCCCCATGCCCTTATCCATTCCTTCCTTCCTTCCTTCCTTGACATCCACCTGCCTTTCTCATTACTCCATTACTTGGTGCCTTGCAGATTTCACTGCTGTTGAGTAGGTGTGCTTTTCATCTAAGCTAAGATCTGAGGCTTCCTGAGGGCAGGGACCATTTTCCTCTTCCTGACTCTTCAACAATGTGGCTCTGGGGTCTGAGAGGGGCGGGTGGGCGAGAGAGAGGTCACTGGACGGCAGGAGGGGAGCAAAGAGCAGGGTAGACAGAGAAGGGGGGTGGGGGCAGGACGCAGAGATGGACAGAGGGAGCCAAGGGGAAGGCAGGGTAGGGGCCTCAGCTGGGCAGACCCCATCCCCAAGGATCATGGATCAGGGGTCATGCCCAGCTTTCACCCAGGGGCCATCTCATGGTGAGAGGAGAGGGGCTGCCGGCGTACTCTGCATGCTGCCCCCTCGCACCCCTGCCCAAGGTGGCTCCTCCCCCTTCGGGTGGCTGGGAACTGGGACTTGGAGCGGGGAGGGAAACCTACCTCCTGGCCTGGGAAAGGGCAGATGGGGTGATGGGGAGCTGGGTGAGGAGTGAGCAGAGAAAGCCAAGAAGCCAAAAGTGGAAGAGAGAGGAGTGAGAGATGGTGGCTGGAGGCTGGGCCGTAGGGAGACCTGGGGGTGGAGAGCTGTGTGAAGGAGCAGGTTAAAAGCAGTTGGACACCGGTAAATTGGTGCGAGCACCGCCCTGTCCTAGGTGAAGCTAGTTGGTTTGTTATCTTTACCCACCAAAGCATTTACTTTGGTTAGTCGCCCGATCCACAAACACTTTCGAGGAGATGACATTACCGAAAGGGAGGAACATCTGCATCAGCTCAGCGTCCCCAAACTCCTGGGGCAGATGGTAGATGAACAGGTTACAGCCCTCGGGCCCTGCGGTGAGGGGAGGGGGTGGGGCGGGGGAGGAGGGATGGCAGGGTGGGGGAAGAGAGAGACAGAGGAGAGGTGAGCGAGTTAGGCAGCGGCAGCAGGGAGGGGTGGGGGCGAGGTTAGGAAAGGGGGTCTCATCCAAGATCCAAGAAGAGTGGGGGCTGCTGAGCCCACGGTCTGAGCTCTCGTCTCAGCTCTGCCCTTGGGCAAGTCACTGAACCTCTCTGTGCCCCAGTCGCCTTCTCTGCAAGACGGATCTGTGACAGAATGCCTGCCTGGCAACTCTGGACTCCAGGGGCAGAAATGATGAGGAAAAGGGGCAGACAGGAGGCCTGATCAGCAGTGGAAATCAGGCGCTGAGGAGAGGCGGAGGAGGTAGGGAGACCTGGGAGGACCTGCTGGGCCTCCCCCTGCCCAGCCCCGGCTCAGAGGGGCAGAGGAAGTTGGCCAGGGGCAGCCGTGCCAGGGTGCTGGTTCAGGTGGGTAAGAAGCTTCACTTCACCTCCTGCACCCATGGGTGGCAGCTCAGCCTGCCCTCCTCCCTGGCCTACTGCCACTCCTTCCCACCTGGTTCCCGATGGCCCTACCTTCCCTCAAACCTCAAACCCAGCCCTAGTCTTAAAGGCAGAAATCAAGATTTATGCTGCCTCCTCCAGTGGGCTAGGTGGGCAAGAGGGTCTTCTCAGCAAGGTTCCACGGTTAGCCAGGGTACCCATGAGCCTCATTAAATGAAAGGCTCCCCATTTCGTTAAAATAACAGCCCTGCCACTTCTATGGCTTGTCATCTCCGCTTCACAGATGAGAAAACTGAGGCCCAGAGAGGTTAAGTCACCTGACAAAAGTCACACAGCTAGTCAGGGGTGGAGCCAGGATACAGACCCAGGCCATCTGCCTCCACTGTCTGTGTTTTCCTCTCTCTCTCTCTCTGTCATAAATCTCAATGCCCCAGAAACTGAACACAGGTGAGGCCTTCGGGTTCCTGAAATTTCCAGATAGCTAAAAATTTACATTTTTCTTTTTAAATAACCCAAATGCTCAATTTTAACTCTTTGAAATGGACATCTCTCCAAGATACTTCATCTGTTTCTTGCCATCTTAAACACAGTATGCCACAGATGAGTTAACCTTTGAAAGTATGGTCATTTCAATGGTTTCCAACCCAGGAGGGACATGCAGAGGAACAGCTTCACTTGTCAGAGTTGTGCAAGAGCTGAGGTTCTGATCAGAGGCTGGTGGAAACTAACCATGAGCTCAAAAGTGAAGGCTGTAAGGCACCGACGTGGTCTGATACGTGGCTTTCATGGCCAGAACCAACTGTCATGGTTCTCTGGGAAGGGCCCAGCTGCCAGATAGCCCAGTCCTGGAGCAAAGAGCTCACTCTGGAGTCTCTCTGCCCTTCTCTGTCCTTCCTCTGTCCTCCTACCTTCCTCCTTCCTCCCTCTGAAGACTCCTCTGACCACCAAAGCAGCCCTCTGAGCCACCGACCTCCTTGGTCCTTGTCCCCAACCCCACCCCCGAGACTGCTGTCTCCCAGGCAAACTGCCAGCTGACGGCGCGTTCAGAACCAGAACCGGCGCAAGTTGCTCCCTCCTCCACTGCCAGGGGTCCCTGGAGCAGGATCCCCCAGGCCCTGGTGACCTTGTCCTAGCCTGTCCCCTTGAACCGCATGTGTTCACTAGTTTATGCTCTACGAATGTGTCCCTTGACGGTCCCCAGCTAGATGTGAGTCCCCTTGGGATAGAACCAGTTTGAAGGCCTAATCTAAGGCACACCTCCTCTAGGACCGCCCCCCGGGGACTCCCCACACCCTCTCCCTTTCCGTGCTCCCCGAGTCCACACTCCACACGTTTCAGTCTAAGGCTATTTGTCCTTTATGTCTGGTGGGTGTTCTCTCCAGCCAGGTGGGGCACTCTCTAGGGGCAGGGGCATCAGCCTTCTCCTCTCCTCCCATCTACCACCCACCCGCAACAGCCCCCCAAACCCAGTACATGCCTCCTCTCCTCTGCCCTTCCCCGCTCCCTGGGCCCTCCCTCTCCACTCCACCCCATGCTGACACCTGCCTTGAACTTGGGGCCCACGCTCCAGGCTCAAGCTCTATAAGCTCCTTGATGCGGATGCTGTGTGTGGATGCTACTTTATGTGTGTTGTCCTTAAAAAGGCAAGGAGCCTTTGAGCACAAGGCCCGCAGATTGAGTTCCATCAGCATGACGTGGAGCCGAGCCCCCCCAGTCTCCTGCCCCTCACCCCTCAACAGGGAGCCTATGCATCGTCTTACTCCGGCCGCCCCCGAGCCCTCCCTTTAGTCCTTCACATTAGTCCCTCGTTCACAGATCCATAACCAGCAGGACTTTGGAGATCAATCTGATCCAACCCAGCCTTCTGAGAAACGGTGAAATGGAACTCCAGAGACAGAAGGTGACTACCCCTGGCCACTCAGCAGCCCTGGGCAGAACCAGGAATGGAGCCCGCCCTGAGGGTAACCTTGGCCTTTCTGTGGGGCAGACAGTGTCTGGGGATTCAGGCATCTGCTGGCTTTCAGGCTCAGCTCAAAGACAAGGAGCTGGAAGGAAAGTCCTCCCCAGCAACCAGGGCGTCCTGGTATTTCAAAGGCATTGCACAGGGGGAAGTGACCATAATGTAAAGAGGCCATGGCCAGAGGACCACGGCTTTGATTTTCATCCACGCCTTATACAACTCCGTGGGCACAGCTGCGGTCCGGCTCCAACCCCCCGAAGCCTGTCTCCTCCGCATCTCCAGGCTCACCTCATCCTTTGCAACACCCCTGGCTTTGCACCCGCTGTTCCCTCACCTGGGACGCCTGTCTCCCCATCTCTGTGTAATGAAGACCTCACCCTTCAGGGCCCACCAAAGCCTTCCCTGACACCCCCAGCCCCAGCAGCACGAGCTCACCCTTGTATGTAGCACGGCTCTGTAGGTGCGTGGGTTCACGTCTCACGCCTCCCCATGCCCTCCTCCCCAGGCTGCTCATCCCAAACACCACAGTCAGGGAGAATGGGGACTCTAGTCGTGGATCCCTCCACCAGAGGGGAGGCTGCAGCGGCGAATGACCGCACAGGGTCTGGTCTAGGGGACAAGGCATGATGGTGGGGAACTGCAGCTGCTCAGAGATTCAGAGAAGGTATGAGAAGGAGTTCAGAGCTACACGTGGAGGGTGGTGCACAGTGTGAGGTCGGGGGCAGGGCAGGGGACAGATGGAGGGCCTCAGTGTAAGGCCAGTCGTAGAGGCTGTCATGTGTGTTGGTCAGTGCAACACTGACCTGCAGCTCTGTGTACACATGGCTATGTGGCAGGGTTTAGAGACCTCTGAGCCCACAGGGCAGAGAGATGCACGGTTCTGACCACAGGGTGGCAGTGGGTCGGCCTGAAGGCATTGCAGTGACAAAACTAGTAGCACCGGGGGACACGGCTCTCTGTTCTGGGTCTGGGACAGGCAACGCTGGGGCTGCTGGATCCCACCCCTTGGGGCTCTGATCTGGCTTGAAGTGGGTGGGAGACGGGCAGGAGCAGAGCTACAGCTCAGTGAGGGAACCCCTGGTAGAGGTGGGGCCATAGGGACCACCCCACCCCCACCCCTACTTCACCAATGGCAGCCCAGGTGTCATTCAGGCATGGACTGGGGACCTCACTATGCAGGACAATGAGGCTGAGAGGGGAGAGGTTGGCTGAGTTGGAAGTCAGACCAGATGAGTTTGCTTCCACGCCCAGGATCTCTGCTGTTCAGGCTCTGGGGTTTGTTCAAGGCCTGTCTGACTGGAGGGATCAGCAGATCCCCAGGGTCCTTCCCAGGACTGACCTACATCCCACAGCTCTGGGACAGTCTGCTGCAAGGGTTCTGTGGCAGCCATCTGGAGGCCAGTGGAACCCCCTGGCCATGTAGGCTACTGGGGCAGATATGGTGGCCTCGCCGGCAGGTAACCCTTTTCATGCAGGTGGGGAGGACAGGACCTTGTTAGTGTTCCTGTTTCAGCATTTGAGCTCTTGCAAGCCCATGGGATTCCCAGGAGTGGACCTGTTTATTCAGCTCCTATAGGTCTCTAAGCTCTGGAATGGGAGGACACAGGGGTCTTCATGAGTCCCAGCCTCCTTGGGCCACCGGCCTTGCCTGGCCCACCGTGTTCACACTAAGGCCTCTGCATCTGCCTTTCCAGCATCTCCTTCTGCGACTAGGCCTGTGCTGGGGCACCCCCCCCTCCCCTCCCTGCCCGTGGACTCCTGCCTGCCCTGGGAGATCTACCTGGCTCTCCTGGCTACCCAGAAGGTACAACTTCTGTCCATGAGGAACTGGTCTCCCTATTCTCCCACCCCATGCCCAGCCATGAGCATTACTACTCTCCCTCTCTTCTGCGGGAGAGGGGATTCTTGGACCCCAAGTCATCCAGGGCTCTACCTTCTTCACCTCCCACCACTGGGGTTTGCAGAGCTACCCCCGCCAGAAGCCCACCCCCTGCTTGGACTGGAGAGCGCCGCATCTCATAATCCTGCCGTCTTCCCTCACCCTCAACACAACACACAAATACGGTCATCTGTCCAACAAGACACCCAGCCCCAAAGGCTAGGAGAGCCTCTTTGGGAAGAGAAGGGGGTGGGGAGGGGCCTTGGGAGCCCGGCTCGCAGACTCACCTTCTCTCTGTTGCTGGGGGATCATTGGAGGTGGTTGAGGAAAGGCCTGGCTTATCTGACCATAGGCAGCAGGGTAGGCGGCTGCTGGAGGGCCAAAGAGGAGAGGCAAGAGCAAGACACGATGACAGTGACACGGAGAGAGACAGGGCGAGAGGCAGGAAGAAAGAGAGAAATTTCAGTGTTGAGCAGTAAAAGCAGACCAGCCAAAAAGTGCATCTCAGCTCAGCCACTTAAGATAAAGACAGCTTTCAGGAGCAAGGGAGAACCGGCACAGTGACGATCAGAAGCGAATGCGTGTTTGTGTGCATCTGGGTGCAGGGCGGGGGCGGTGGTGAGTTGCCCAGCCCAGGGGCGGGAGTGAGAGAAGCATGGCTGGCAGCTTGCCTTGGGCTTCCCATAGTGGCTTCCCATTCAGTGACCCAAAGCCACCTACTTGACCCTGGGCTGCCTCTTGTCACCCCTCCTTTTTTCTACCTCGGGCTGCCTATCCTCCCTCGTTCCCTGCCATCCTTGCTCACTCCAACTCCTGCTACCTGTGTATCCTGGGGGGAGGGGGGAGGTTGAAGCTGCTTCCTTGCAGCGTCTCTCCTTGCCTCAAACCCAGGCACCTAAGCGTCCAGGGCCAGCGACTGTGGACTGCGGAGGCCAGCACCCCGGCTCCAGCCTCACCCCCAGTGCCGCTGTGTGGCTTGGTGCCCCTGGGCAAACCGGCCTGGCAGCCCCGTGGGGAAGGAAATCTGGCCTCAAAGATGAGTCACTGCACGGCAAGGTCAACACTTCAGCCCGGCTCACCAACTTGTCTGCAGTCCTGACCACCCACCACTGCAAGGGCATGCGTGGGAAGCTCTGCCTGAATGCTGGGGGCCTGCAGAGAGGGGGGCAGCCTCTGGGAGGAGAGCCCTCCCTCCTTTCACAGAAGCTCCCCGCTACTCCCCCCTTCCTCCCCCTCCCCCTCCCACACAGTGCTGGGCCCAGGCCTGGGGTGGGGAGGTCGCACTGGTGCCCAGGTGGGAGCGGGAAGTTGAACAAAGCTGGGGGACAGCCATGGGGACGCGCGGATACTAACGACCTGCATACTGCTGCACTCCAGCGTAGGCCTGCTGCAGGGGGTCCGCGGCGGTGGGGCTCTGCGCTGCGGGGGAGCCAAGGGGGCAGAAGTCAGTGATGCCCACCCAAGCCAGCCCCTCCCCCACCATGCGGGCGGAGAAAACACTGTGTGGCTTTATCGCCCTTCCCTGCCACAGGGTGTCTGCCCTGGGGCAGGTCTTCTGACAGGAACCCTGAGTGCCTGGGCCTTGCTAGGGTTCCCCCACCCCCAGTCAGGGCCCTTAGCAGGGTGAAGGTGGCCCACCCTGGCTGGCACACACAGGCTGGGGTAGGGTGAGATGCGTGCTTCATGCAGAAGTTTGGGAAGGGCGGGGAAGGGGGTGCCGGAGGAGGTTCGGCCATGAGGGGCTTAGTAGGAACACATGAGGGATTCGGCCCCAGATAAGTGCTGTGGAAAAGTGGCCAAAAGGGCGGAGGCTGTCAGGAGGGTGGTCTCATCTTCACTACCCCAGCTGAAGTCAGGGGAGAACCCAGCGGGTGAAAGAAAGGGCACAGGAGACCTCCTCCTGACACTGTCTTCCCGGGCCACCCATGCCTGCTCAAACAGAGGGACCTTCTCCTTTAGCCTCAGGGGCTTTGCACAAGGCACGGAGGCTTCCATTCCTAGGACTGGCCACACAAATGAGATCGGTCCCACAGGCTAGGGGATGAGGAGGGCCCACAGCCCCTGAATAACCAGCGGGCCAAGGGCCTTCCTCCAACCTGAGTCTGTGACTCTCGGATGTCTACTGCCCGTGTGAGAAGAGGACCCTCATGCTGAAACTTTGGCGAGAAACTGGGGGCGGTTGGATTGGGGGAAGGCGTGGTCTCTGCTGTGTCTTTGGAAGCTTGGACAGAAGCCTGGTGCCTTTGGTGACCGTGGCTAGTGGGAGTGAGCTGACCTGGGAGGCCCAGGGAGGTGGGTGGGGACAGATCGAGCCACAGCATGTTTAGGGCAAACTGGATAACACAGGGAGGCAGAAAGAAAACCACCTGAGCTTATCCACCTGGTGACCTAGGCCAGCCAAGCTAACTGGCAGTGCTGGCCTTAGGGGCCTTGCAGACCAGGAGGAGTTCCCAAGCTTCCCTTCTGAGCTCTTGTTTCCGAGCCTCAGTAACATCCCACCAGAACAACAGCACCTGGGCCTCCGGGGAGCCAAGGGGAGTCCTGGGGCAGAGATCCTTAAAGACAGTGTGGCCTGCGGCAGGGGAGCTGGGCCAGGGCTTTGCACAGAGGGGTAGCTGAAGATGGGCCCTGTCCTAGCATTACCCCCCTCTTTCCCCCATGGTGGTGACTGGGGCCAGGAGCTCCTGGTGCTGAGGAGGTGGGGGTGGGTATGCCTGGCGGGGTGTCCGCTCCTCCCTCCCGCTGCTCTCTCTCCTGGTCCCTCCACCAGCCTCTGCTCTCCGGAGGGAAGCCCACATCCAGCCTGTCCTCTTGCTCTCCCCAGACTGCCCACCACATAGTGCCTTTATGCAAATGGGGAAAAGGGGTTTCTATCTCTGGGCACACAGTTTGGTGTCCTATGTAAAATAAAATCTGCATAACTTACATGACAGTCACTCCCCCAACACCCACGCACAGTGTGAGGATCTTAGCAAGTGTTCAGTAAACACTGTGGCGTAAGGAAAGAATGAATGGTCCACAACATTTATAAAGCCGCCCCTTCAGGGGTGTTATATGGCAGTAAAGGCCACACTGTGTGCTTCCAACGTGATCTTGATGAGCAAGGGGGGAGAACTGAGAAGGCACCTGGGGCTAGGCAGTGGAGAAAAGCATTTCTGAGACCCCTCTCTACTTCTCTGCTTAATGACCTCATTAGTAACTGCCAAAGAGTGAACGTTTTGAAGGATCTCGCTCATTACAGCGGCTTCAAACTCCGCATTTAAAGATGGTAAATTAATTTTTTTAATGTACTACTTTTCTCCTTTCCTTCCCTCCTTCCCTCCCTACTGCTCTGGCAGGGAATTGTTTATGTGATGTGGCAGATTGTTACAAATAGGGGAGAGAAACATTTCCAAATTCCATGAGGGAAATAGCTCACAGATGCTGGTGGGGGTGGGGAACAAACAGGTTCGTCAAAATCCACAGCTCCAGATGGGCTTGTGGGCATGGAGGAGGGGGGAAATGAAACCGCCCAGATGTGCTGGGGACTGTATCTCCCAGCCCATGAGCCTGAGGCAGGAGGAGCCCAGGAACCTGAGATTGGTGGGCTCTCTCCCACCTCCAGCTTGTTAAGCCTCTGCCCTGTCTCCCGTGCCCGCCTGGAGTTTTCATCCTGGAACGACACTCCAAACCCTCTGGGCCCTGCTCCTTCTCTCTCTAGGCTTTCCTGGTCTCTTCTCTATGCACCGAGAGGTGAGTTGAGGGGAAAGCACTAGGTCAAGACCAGGACCACTCCAAGTTCAAAGTCAGGACATGCTCCTCTGTTTTTTTTCTAGCATAGTGACCTTGTACTCTGCCACTGCTGTTGCTGCTGCTGCTGTTGCTGCTTGAACTTGTACATTCTCTGGATGTCTGGGCCTCTCTTCTGACAGTGAAATCACAATCTCTGGGCTTCTGTGGTTTTACAAAGCCACACAGTGGGGTCTGATGGGCAACCAGAGAGGGAAGCATTACTCTGCTCCTCACGGCTAGTCCATCTGAGGCCGATTTCCTCTTCCCTAGTTGGACCAACCTCCTCACCATCCCTGACCCCTGCAGGTAGACCCCCTGCTTCCGCTGAGCCTCCAAGAGAGCTGCTCCACAAATGTGCTCCTTGTTTGTCTTCTCCAATCCCTACCCATTGTCCACGTTCAACCTGAGCCTCCTATCAGGGCAGCTCCATTGGGCTTCTTCAGCCTACAAAACTCTCCCTTCACTTGGCTCCTTTAGCACCTCATGTTGGAGAACATTCACTCACAAGCACACTCCATTCTGCTTATTGTTTCAACATTCTGTCGATGTCTGTTGTTTTCCTCATTGGACTTTGACCTCCCAGGTGATAAGCCTACATCCTGCCCTCCTTCTGGGGCCCCCCTTTCACCCAGCACAGATTGGGCACTTACTTTTACTTATGGGGACTATGTAACCTTGCTCTAGGAAGGAGGACAGGACTCCTCACATCTCAGATACACTGCCCCCTGCTAGCCTACTCCAGGGCTTTGGATCCAGCTTTCCTGCTCTGTCCATCCTCAAGACCAAAGATAGAAGCTGTTTCCAGTCAACTGTACAGTCCCATGGGAGAAGAGCCAAGTTCGAGAGGAGCAAAGTTAATCAGAAACGCGCCCCGCTGCACCTTCTCTGTACCAGAATTCATGAAAGCGGGGCCTGGGAGCTGTCCGAGGTTCTGACCCTCTGTCCGAAGTGCTGACCGGGGTTCTGCATGCACAAAGGAACCAAACAGGTACATTCTGGCCATAATGTCAACCTACATATCTGCCCTTCCTTCCCAAAAGAGTTTTTTCCTGCTTAACACTAAATGCAATTATTCTTTTAGCTTCTATCCCCTTAATTCTTCTGGATCAAATTCACTCTCAATTAATTTGCAGTGACCAGCCTCTTTACCTGGCTGTACAATTACATCTACTCTTTTTTCTACCCTGAAGGAGCCCAAGGAATGCAGGTCTTTCTCACCTATGAGACTGATACTTCCCCAAGTGGGAATTTGATATCTCCCACCAGAGGTTCCTGGAGGGAAGGTAGGAGGCTGTTCTCACTGATCACACTTGGGGTTCCACCAAGGAACGGATAGAGGGCAGGAGGCACACATCCCCTGTTATAACAGAAAGGGCAGGGACAGAATGGATGAGGAGGGTGCTGCATGGGTAGGAAAGGGCTGCTAGGTGTGCTTACCTGGATAGGGGTGGATGCCATTGGCAAACACAGCTTCCGCAGCAGGTTGCCCATTGGCCTGTGGGGGGAGGCCAGTGAAGCCGTTCACCCCAATGGGGGACGGGATGCTAGGCACAGCTGGTGCAGTGATGCCCGGAGGGGTGCTGCCACCTGGTTTCAGAGGTGGAGAGGGGTGGAGGGGGGGGAGGCAAGCAGAACAAAGGTGAGGGAGACCTATCCATGGAGCTCCACCTCCTGGCTCCAAGGGCCTGGACATACACTTGGAACTCACAACCAACTCAATCGTATCTGTGAATTATGCCTTGGATTATCTCCATGCATGGAGTTGTTCTGCTCATCCCAACTGTATTCATCCTTTAAGGCAGAGTCCAAATCCCACCTCCCCCATGAAGGCTTCCCTGACCACTGACCAATCAACCTCGGAACTGCAGCACATAGACTATTCTCAGTGCCCTTGACTTTGATCATACTTGGTCTTCCTTTAGCCTTCTTTAGTGGTTCTTGTTCACCCTAGCTAAGTCAGGATGGACTAGTCCTTGCTTAACCACCAAGAGGCTTCTAAGTTGCTGGCTCTGCTCTCTTGTCTGGCTCACTGAGGGGCTGATCTGCCTCCCCAGGAAGGAGCTGTGCTACTCGGATGGAAGAGGTCTTAATTCTGGAGTTCCCCTGAAATGAGGGAGAGATGACTTTGCAGAATCCAGACTCAGCCTTATTCACACACAGTTGACACCTTGGCCTCCACCGGTTGAGATAATTGTGATGCTCATTAAGGCAAGGGTAAAGCTGGGGTCAGATGATAATATATTGTGCCCTCTCAGTGCCAGGTGGGTGGAACCCAAGGTGTGGCTGGCACAGTGATTGTACTGAGGCCTTAAAGCTGGAAAGGGCCTTCCTCTTCATGTAGGAAGCAGGGTCTCTCCATGGATGAGAACCTGAGGCTGGCCTGGGCTCAGGAGCGTCCCTAAATTGGGGTAGTGCGCAAGTTGAACCTAGAGATGACACAGTCTTTTATGGATTTTATAAATATGCCACTGGGTGTAAGGAAGGCTGCTGCTATAACCTGAGTGTAGAGAGCCAGGGAAGCTTGGTGAATGAAAGCCTAGGTTGTTAGGCCAGCCCTTGGGACTTGACAAGGTTTTCTCAACTTTGATACTATTGTCATTTGTGGTTAGACATTTCCTTGTTGTGGGGGTTGTCCTTTGCATTGTTGGATGTTTAGCAGCATCCCTGGCCTCTACGTACTAGATTAGAATATCACCCCCATTCCCAAGTTGTGATAATCAAAAAGGCCTCAGGACATTGAGATATCCCCAGGGTTGGAGGGGCATAAAATTATTGCCCCAGTTGAGAATCACTGAACTGGACAATAACCAAGGTTTAATTAAAAACACACTTTGTGAGCAGAGCTGTTCCCAACCCTTCCGTCCTTTACTAACTCTGTGGTTCTCTCTTGTTTGTTGTGGAATTCTCCTGGGAAAAGCTGGAAAGCCTATGTTGGGTTAAAGAGAAATTTAACATTCAGCTCCTTCTATGCTTGGGCCAGGGACCAAACAAGGCCACCAGATGGGCAGGGCTCTTCTCCCCTCAGACCCTCAAAGGGAGAGGTGTTCATGCCAATTTCTTCTCACAACAACTTGAAATTCCCATCACCCTGATATCATACCATAGACGTCATGGGCCCCACATCCCATATTCCCTCGGGTCCCCAGGGATTAGAACATTTTTGAGACAGACTGCCAGAGGATGAGGCCTGCTTGGGCCCAGATGCCAGGTACTGTTTGCCACAGGGTGGCCCTGTGATGGTAGCTGCTGGCTCACCTGAGGTTGGGGTCATGGGTGCGGCTGCCAAGCCATTCATGTTGAGGGCCGCCATCTGCTGCATCTGGGCGGCGGCGAAGGCAGCCATGGGGTTCAGGTAGCCACCCTGCGCGACTGATGCCATTAGTGCCGCCTGCTGCTGCATCAGCTGGGGCAGAGGGAGTGGAAAAAATATCATGCGCTTCCAGGGGGGGCAGCCCTCCCCACCAGGGGTCTCAGCTCCTGGATACCAACCTCCTAGGCCCTGAGCCCCACCCCACCCCAGAGAACCCTGATGTCTCCCCCATTCTTGCCCTAGTTCTCAATGGCTATTAGAAACTACTCCCTAAGTGGTAACTATTCAAAAGTAATGGTAGGATCTTGGAGACTCTAAAGTTGTTGTAAGGCATGGGGGTGGGGGGAGGGGCTGGCTCATGGCTATTGTTCAGCCCTGCAAAGTCCTGTCATTCATGGAGTTGTGACACCCAAAGCTGTAGAGCTATTTTGGATGAGGTTCCATAGAATTAAATTAGCGTGGATTTCTGTCCAAATGTTCTCACAAACGTGAGTGGGGACTGGGGAGGCTGGTAAAACTGGCCACATCTGAACATTGCTGAAGGAGTGAAGAAAGGAGCTTATGTTGTTAGAACCGAACCTGGACTACCTTAGTGCCACCCTTGCGGGGGTTGTGGCTGCAAGTCTGGCAGGCAGCTTAGGGGAGATGCTGGCAGAGAAGGCCCCAAGGAGGAAGACAGGGGTTGGCGGGCCAGGGGAGCGGAGGGGACTGCAGCAGGAGTATCGGGGTGATGGGCTGTGGTGACCCTCACAGGACCCCGGCCAGGAGCGACCAGAGGCCTGAGCACACCCTTCCATGATTAGGGGCGGGGGCGGGGTGGTGAGAACCAAACAAGGGAGTCTCTCACCCCTTCCATTTGGTGCTTTCTAGAATTTGACTAGCAGAGGAGCTTGCTGCCCTGTCTAGAAGCCTTCTCTCCATCTCCTCCCCTTCAGAACCAGGACATCAACCCACCTCTTTCTGGCAGCCACCCTGGACTGAACCAGACTTCTCTCTACGCCCTCTACTTCCTGGCTCATCCCTGACCACTCCTCACTCCCCAGGGCTGGAGCAGTATTTCTTGGCCAGGCTGGGGCTCCTCTCAGCAAAGTTAGGTGCCCCTGCTCTGGGGCTCTGAGCAGCGTTAGCTGGAGAACCATGGCCCACACCCACCACCCCCATCTGCACCCCCACTTACTGCCTGTGCGTAGGCGCCGTAGGCCCCGAACGGGATGGCCATGGGGTTGAACATGCCCATCTGGCCAGCCATCTGCTGCATTCGCCGCATCGTGCGCTCCTTGTCAGTGTCGGCGAACTTGACCACCAGACTGGATGAGGCTCCCTGCAGCCGGGACTGCACGTGAGGCCCACCTGCCCTAGCCGCTTGCTCCCAGCCGTCCAGCTGTCCGTGCCCCTAACCTAGGCCCTCCCTCTCTTCTCCACGAGGTGCTACTGTGGGTTGGGGGGTGGACGAACACTGGTACACGCCCAGGAGCCTAGGGTCTTAACACAACTGCGGCCGGTTCCTTCTATCTCTGGGCCTCAGTGTTCTTGTCTGGGAAATGGGGATAGTGGTAATGCCTTCCTACCTCATAGGGAGGTAGTGTGTGCGGCAAGTGTTTCGCACTGTAAGGACTGAGTGTGAAGGTGGGCAGGGGCCCTGCGGGTGCTCTGGGCTGGGCAGGGGTGTCGCCCTGCCGCGGTCCAGGGCTGGCTGCACTCACCGGCATGGTCTGGCTGCCATGCAGCGCGTTGATGGCAGCTTGCGCCTCAGCGTGGGAGGAGTACTTCACAAAGGCGCACCCTAGGGGGAGAGAAAAGGCTGAGCCTTGGCCCAGAGGGAGGCCAGAGAAACCGAGGACTGACAGGCTGGGCATGGCAGGGGGCCCAGGGGACAGGGTGCATCCAAGAAGAAAGCCAAACTGGTGTGATATAAAGACTGAGAGAAAAAGAGAGACACCGTGAAACACGCAGAGAGAAAGACCTCATCCCCCCTGCGCTTTCCAAGCCTCCCTCCCTGGCCTGCTCCCGGCTCAGAACTCGCCCTCCAGCCGGCCTGAGCCGGTGGCCCCGCGCCGCGCCCAGCCCCCAGCCCGACCCGGGCTCACCCTTGCTGTTGCCGTCGGGCCCGCGTAGGATGGTGCACTCTTCAATGTTCCCGAAGGCCTCAAAGAGGCGGCGCACATCGTCCTCAGACTGCTGCTTGTTGAGCATGCCCACGAAGAGTTTTCTATCTTCTGGAACAAAATTAGGAGATGCTTACCCGGGCCGAGGGGCCCGGCGGCGTGGGGGCGGGCCCGGGGGAACAGGGCTGGGCCGGCCCGGAGGAGAAGGGATTCAGGAGAGAGGGAGAAGCTGGGCAGAAGCGCGGCGCGGGCTCAGACCCGGAGAGGGAGAGGGGGAGCAGGGAGCGGGTGGGCTGGGGTCGGGCAGAGCTAGCTGGGCAGGGAGGCTGGGTGAAGGGGCAGGGAGAGAGGGAGGGCATAGCCAGAGGGGAGGTGCAGGACGAGGGGCTGGGTAAGGAGGGAGCTGGATTGCAGCGACTCTGCTCCCTCCTGCCTGAAGGGCAGGCCACGAGGTGAGGGAGTGAGGCCCTTGGTCTGGCCGCTCACCTACCTACGGGCACAAGGGTCATTCATACAACTCTTGGATCCCTTCTTCCTTCCTCTTAGACACAAACTAACTTCCTCGTCCACCTTCAATCACAGATGCCAGAATTAACTCATAACAAGCAAGTCTGTCACAGGGCCTTTGCGTATGCTGTTCCCTCTGCTTGGAGCACCCTCCACATCACAAGACTGATTACTTCTCTTCTTCTGGGACTCAGTTTAAATATTGCTTCCTCATCAAGGGACCTCTTTCCAACTTCCTTTTATTCTCTGTCTCAGCCCCTCACTCTCATGGTCTGAATTCAAAGGACAATTATTTCCTGCTTTGTCTGTGCAGTTGGTTTCTGTCTAGCTCCCTGCCACTGACCCACCACTTGCTGCCACAGTACACTCCCTGGGGAGGACAAGGCCTCTAGTGGGGCAGCAGTACGTGGCACACAGTAGGCCCTTGGGACAGCGTTATGCAATGAGTAAATGCTCTATGCCATTCCCAGGGACATATCTCCTTTCTACCTCACGTTTTTCCCTTCTTGGTCCATGCCTTCTTATTTGTTTGTGCTACCAAATTCAGCCCTGGGCACTCTGGAGAGCCTGTTTCTAGGGCTGGGCACCCTCCACAGCTCCTCTACACTTGTGTTGAGTACCGAGTGCTTTATTAAGTGCTTTATAAGGGCTGAATGAGACTGCACTGGGTTGTGTGGATTTGTACCAACTGTGACTTCAAAAAGATTTCCCACTTCACAAGTTCTTATCTCTCTGTGACTTCATGCCTCCTGCTGAGAGGTGGAGGGAGGGGGTCTGTGTTCCCTCCCCTTGAATCTGGGTGGGGTTTGTGATGCTCTAACCAATCAAGAAGAGCAGGAATGATGCCAGCTGACTTCCAAGTCTAGGTCATAAAAAGGATCAGTTTCCATTCAGTTCTCTCTTTTGGGGATACTCGCCCTGTAGAAGCCAAACCCTACGCTGCAAAGAACACCCGAGCGGCGCACACAGCAAGGAACGCAGGCTCTCAGCTGGAGGCCACCGTCAACCGCCAGACGTGGACGTGAATGAGTCCTCAGATAATGCCAGCCCCCAGCCTTTGAGGTTTCCAGCTGAGGTCCAGACATCCTGGAGCAGAGACAGGCCTTCCATGCTGTGCCCTGTCTGAATTCCTGACCCACAGAATCTGTGAGCATAATCAACGGTTGTATTACACCCCTCACTTTGGGGCTAAACTGTTATGCAGCCACAGCAGCTGGAACAGGGGCCCTGTGGTGGCAGCACACAGCAGGCGCTCACGAGATGTTTGCTGACTGTTGAATGACTGGCACACACAGGCACACACAGCTTAGGCTGCAGAAAGGCGCCCCCCTGCCCCGCCACCAAAGCTTCGATCAGCCTTGTGTTATGGTTTTCTCTGAAGGCAGGGGCACTCTGGAGCCCTGTCCCTTTGTATTCAGGGTGGTTCATACTTCCTGCCCCAGAGGGTACCCCTGGCCCACACTGCCAGGAGCGTTCACTGAGAGCTGAGGGGCTGTCCTGGCGTCTAGACTGAAGCAGGGGAAACCCCCTGGCCCCTGCCCTCCTTCACAGGCCACCCAGAGGCTTCCCCTTCAGGAAGCCCCAGCCGCTGCCCTGCTGGTACCCCTCTCCCAGAGCACTCTGCTCTGGGCAAGTTCTCAGTGGTGAGGCGGCCCAGGGTTCCAGCTTCTTCCCTGCCCTGCAGGGCAGTGTTGCCAGTTCCTGTTACCAGCGCTAGGCCAGGGTACACCAGCTTGGACCTCCACCACTGGTGGGCTTTGGCCAAAGCTCGGGCCTGGAGGTCTGACCCTGCCGCCTGCCCCCGCCTGGGCTGCTCAGCCCGGCTTCTTGCGCCTTGGCAGGGCTGGGCCCACCCCTGCCTTCTCACCCACTCCAGGCTCTGGGCTGGTGGGGCAGAGACTGGGAGACCATGAGAAAGAGAGACAGGGGAAAGGGGTGAACCTTTGGAGGGATGGCAGGAGGCGGGGTTAGGAGCAGAGAGGGAGGGAAAATGGTAAAGATGGACAGAATCCAAAGAATTTGAAACAAGAGAGCAGAGAGAAGATACCAGCAGAAGGAGATGGCAGAGACAGAGGAGAGAGGTGGGAGGGCTTATGTTTGACTCCCAGAAGCAACAACAACACTGTACAATAAAGTGACCTGCGAGCTCTTAAGCCTTTCGCAGAGGCTTTACGACCCCTCTCCAGGCCCAGAACAGGGCTCCCCCACCCCAAGCCCCACCCCCAGCACCTTTTAAAGGCTCTAGTCCAGAGAGGTGAAAAAGTGAAAACTGCCCCCTGCTAATACCAGACCCTCCGGCTTACAAACTGTTTCCCCGGGAAGGAAAAAGGAAGGGAAGACAAGGCCCCTCCTCAGCCTGAGCCTCATTTACATGCCGGGGCTGCAGCCCAGGCCTTCTCTCCTGATGTCTGAATATATTCCTTTATTATCATTATGACAGCTTTCTGATTGCATTAAAATTCATCCACACGTGCCTTTCTATCCAGCCACTTCCCTTTTGCTAGGTTTTCCGCCCCCCCTAATTCCTTCTTCCCCTCCCCCGAAATCTCCCTTTACTATGCAGTTCTCAGTTCTAGGCCTGATCCCTTCCTTCTTGAAAACTTTCCCAATGTGAAGTGGGCCAGGCTTCTTCCCCCCTCCCTGCCGGACTGGATTTCCCTAGGGAAACTACAGCCGGCCTTACCTTCTGGAAGGTTGCTGGAAGCCAAAGAAACCTGGCTCTAGCTTCACTTCTTCCAGGGGTTCTTGGATGACCCCACCCAGTGCAAAGGTTGGTTTGTTTCTGTAATCTTCAAATGAATTCATTTGGTGCCCTTTTCATTTCCAATTGGCTTGTGTCACTGGGTGAGTGATGCTGAGCCTTGTCTTTCAGACCAGGGGCTGGAAGGACTCTGAGTCCGAGGGTGGATGTCCTCTTTCTGGCCCCGCACCCTGGCTCAGGCCCCAGCCAGCCTGTGCTCCAGCTGCACAGAGGCTCCCCGCCTCAGTTTTTAGGTCTACGTAACTGGAATAACCAGGCCCTCCCTGTGTGGTGGATGCGTGCCTTCCAGGAAACGCTGCAGGGACAGAGCCTGGCTAGCAGTGATGACAATGGTGACAACCATTACTCAGGGTTCTCTGTTTGCCCTGCCCTGAATTGAAAAGGAGTCATAGGTCATAGAGGGGGAAGGGTCAGAGGATCCACATCGGGGGAGGAGATAGTGCTTGAAGGAACAGATTGGACCAGACTCAGGCTATAGCTGATCAGCTGAGATGGACCACCTCCCCAGTCCTCCCATCCCCTGTGCCCTCTTCCCCCTCTGGCCACATTCCCAAGGGGCTGTCCCCAAGCTGTGTCAGATGAGCAATGGCACCATTTGGCTGGTGTCTTAGACCTGACGCCAACCTAGTGAGAGTCTCAGAGAATGACTCAGTTTCCTCCGCCAGTTCCCACCCCGTTCGACATGGACACAGGCCACTACCTCCTGGGACAGGCTGAGCAGCCCCTGACCACAGCCCAGCTGCCTGAGTGGCCAGCGTTCCTGGGTGACAGTGAGGCTATGGTGCTGTCACCCTCCCCCGTGAGCCCGTTGTTGGGGTGGTTGAGGGCGTCGCTGCTCCTCTGAGATGTTCAGGGAGGTGCTGTTGGAACTGGGCCGTGCGGGCCAGCCACCTTCCAGGAAGGGGAGGACAGGAGAGACCTCGGAGCCAGGGTCTGAAGACGCCCCTGGGTGGCGGTAGCTGAGGCCGTGCAGGGCCCAGACAGGTGGAGAGCAAGTGGAGGCTGGTTTAAAGCCCTGTATCCTCCCTCAGCAGAGCCCAGATCAGGGCGAAAGGCTGCACTATGCTTGCTTTCCGACTCCCGGGGCTGAGCCCAGTGGCTGGCAGAGGAAAGCCCTGGCTGTCAGGCTCTTGCAGTCATTCAGCAACTGCTTGCAGAGCACCTTCTCTGTGCCAGACACTGCGCCGAGCACTGCTTCCAAGGCAGTAAACAGGAAAGGTGAGTCTGCTCGCTGGAGCTGACACCCAGATGGGGAGGCAGGCGACCGCAAGAAATAAGTTCCCAAACAAGACAGAGGCCAGCAGGGCTGCCACACGGTGGCTCCCAGAACTGGTGTGCTCCCTAAGGGGGGCGTAAGGCCACAGAATGGCAGAGCTGGGCAGGACCCCCGAAAACACCCAGGGCCCCACCCTTTTAAATAAGGAAGTTGGGGGCAGAAAGGGAGCTCCACGATGCACCTCTGGGATTCAGGCTAAACCCAGTCTCCCAGGGTCTCTTGACTTCCTGATCCTATAACCCCTTGCTGCTGCCTTCCCGCTCCTTCAAAATGTGTCTGTGTGTGAGGGGCTGAGGGAATTCCCGAGGTTCTGGGGAGCAGGAGTGTGATGCCCCAGAAAGGCCAGCAAACAGAAGGCAGATGCTAGTCCCAGCCCTGCCTGAACGCATAGAGGGCAGCTCAGCCCTCTGTGCCCAGATGTCCTGCCATCTCTGGTGGGGAGTGGGCACAGTCTGTACTCCGCCCCCCCTCCATGCACACTAAGGAGCTGTGGATGGGGGAAGACAATAATGTATGAAAAAATACCCAGTTATATCAGGTGAAGGTGTTTACAGCTACCTAAGGAGG